GGGGGGGGGCAGGCAGAGCTGGCAGAGAGGTGGCCGGAGCCAGAGGCAGCGCTTGGCTCCTGGCAGTATATCCCACGCCTGGCTCAGCGGGCAGCCTGGGAATGAGGGTGCCAGGCTGCAGTTGCCCCAGGGAAGAAGGGCGTCTCCCAGGCGAGGAAACACCCGACCCCATGGCAGAGAGGGCCTCACACCTGCCACTGCACACTGCCCACAGCTCTGTGGGGCTGGCCGGGCGCCCTGGAGCAGCCCCAGGGGTTGGGGGGGTCGCTGGGGGCCCTGCTGGTGGGGCACGGGGCCCTTCCTACCCTGACGTAGTCCTGGTTCAGCTGCTGCCACTGCTCGCTGTAGGCCTTGCGTAGCTGCTGCTTGTCGCGGATCAGCAGGGTCAGCTTGTTCAGGGGCCCGGCGGCCAGGTCCTCCGCATGGCGCCGCAGGATCTGGCTCAGCCCCTCCGTCTGGCTCACTAGCACCCACCAGGACTGCCAGGAGAGGGGAGAGCTCAGGGGGGCCGGCAGCATGGGGGAGCTTGCGGGGCTGGGAGCACGGGGGGAGTTTGGGGGGGCTGGGAGCACGGGGGGAGCTTGGGGGGGCTGGAAGCAAAAGAGGGAGCTATGGGGGACTGAGAGTGTGGGGGAGGCTGTAGCGTGGAGGCAGAGGAGCTCATTCGGCAGAATATGGGGGAGCCCAGGGGAGGGCAATGGGTGAGCCCGAGCAGACTGTGGGGGCCCAGCTGGGATTTGGGGGTGACTGAGATCTCTGGGGTGGCAGGTACATACTGGGTCACCCCAGTGTGCCATGAGGTCTCTACTGAACGCCTGGCTCCCGCTGGCTGCTCTCCTTGTGAAATTGCAGTGCGGCTATGTGACGAACTGGGACTGTTCTTAATGTTTGAATGCTGAGTGGGGAGGTTGGCTGGGACGGTCTGCATGGGGGATGGGAGACTGGCCGAGGGAGGATACCTGAGCATGTAACGTGAGAACCCAGGAGTGGGCTGGCGCCAGGTGACACCTCTGCCCGGGAAGCTGGACAAGGGGGGGGGGGGGGCTGGGTGAGAGACGCTGGAGGGAGTTGGAGTTGGTCAGGAGCTGGCTGGTGTAATAGAGGGGAGCCCAGATGGGACTCTGACCCCCCTGGGAGCCCAAGCTGGACCTAACTGGGGGGGGTCCTGTTGTCTGTACCTGCAAGACCTGTCTTGGACTCTGTTCCTGTCGTCTAAATAAACCTTCTGCTTTACTGGCTGGCTGAGAGTCCTGGTGAATCGCAGGAAGCCGGGGGTGCAGGGCCTCGTGTCCCCCCACACTCCGTGACAGGCTACCACGGCAGGAGCTCCAAAGCTCTCCTGATAGTGATGTGCCCTGGGCCTGGGGCTGCGCTGTCTGTCTGTCTGTGTACATGTGTCCTAGGCCCTTCAAGGGGCCACGGGGGCGTCCATTTAGTCTGAGCACAGGGCTAATCAAGTGAGCGTAAAGTCTCCGGTCCGCCCCGGCCGGGAAACCCAAGCGGCAGGGGCTAGCTGGGTGGCAAGTGCAGCCAATGCAGCTTTGGATGCTGGCTGTAGAGACAGACAACGCCTGGATCCTTCCACCGAGGACGCAGGCGGACAGCGGCTTGCCCAAGAGCAGACGCTCACAGCCCAGCCTGGCTGTCGCGCGATGGAAGGGTCCTGGGGGAGCGGCTTCGCTGATGCCATGACGTGGGTTGATTAGCGAAGTCAGCCAGCTCCTGACCAACTCCAACTCCCTCTATTTCTGCTTGTTCTCCTTCGGGTCTGTGAAATCGCCCACAGCCCTGGGCACCGGCGGGAAGCGTCACAGCGGTGCGGCAGGTACCCGCTGTGCTGCGCCCAAGGGCACCCTTAGGGATGGCTCCAGGCCACCCCACACTCAGCAGCACCCCTGCAGGCCCAGCCTGGCCCGGCTCAGAGTAAAGCCCAGGGGGGCTTTCACCTGCCTTTGCACCTCCTGAGTCTGGCCCACAACATCAGCTAGAGCCCCTCAGAGCTGCAGCCAGCGCCTTCCCCCCAGGGCCCGGGGCAGCCAGAACCGAGCACAGGGAGGGGCCCAGGGTCCTGCGATGGCCCCACAGAACTCAGGGCCCTGGGGGTGCTGGCTGATGGGAATGGGCCTTCTGAACCCTTCCGCAGCTGGGGCCCCTCTCTGCTGACACCCGCCCCAGGAACAGGGCGGCGCAAAGGGGTTTCTGTTGCACCTACACACACCCTCTTCTCAGGGTCTTTGGAGCCAGCACGAACCACAGCCCGCAGCGTGCCAGCTCCCCCGGCCCCTTGGCCTCCTCCAGCTCGGCTTGCCAGGCCGTGCCTGCAGCGTGCCAGTGACCCGGACTGCACAGAGCACTGCCGCATGCACAGGAACCCGAGCTGGGAGCAGGTGCAGATGGGCTGCCGTTCTCCAGGGGACCCATTCGGCTGGAGACGGGGCTGGCCCCAGCCCCTCTCATGTCTAACTGAGGCTGCAACACCTGGCGTTCTGCTGCCCAGGGGTGAGGGGCCGGATGGCTGCAGGGTCTGGGCATACAGACCTGACCCAGCCTAGGGCAGGCTTCCTACCTTGCTGATCTGGCTTTTGTAGTCTCCTGGCAGGGGCTGCCGGAAGCCCTCCTGCTTCTCCAGCTGGCAGAACGTGTTGTGCAGCAGGGCCGCGTACTCCCGGTCGCTCTTGGCTCGCTGCACCATCCACTTCTTCATCAGCTCCAGGAGGCGCAGCTCAGAGTCCTGCAGCTGCAGCAGGGCGCTGTGTGCCTGGGGGCCGCACAGCTCCGTCCCGAAGCCCATGGCGCTGGCCGCCGAGAGCTGGCTCCTCCCCCCCAGACCGCAGGCGGGGGCGATGCTGTTGGAGGCCATGAGTAGAACAGTCACCAGAGAACGCCCCTTCCCCTGGCACTGTGTAAACCATACGCCAGGCCACTGCCCTGTGCCCCGTCCCCACGCCCGCTGCAGCTTCCCCCGGCGCGCTGTGAACCGTACGCCAGGCCCCCGAGCCACTGCCCTGCGCCCCGTCCCCACGCCCGCTGCAGCTTCCCCTGGGCGCTGTGTGACC